GGTGAAGAAAGCACTTACAGCCTGGAGAGAAGACACAACTTGTCTGATTGCGGGAAAATGCGGAAACCCATTTTAACGCTGAAGAAAAATTTTCCCTCAGCAGCAGATCTGCACAGAGCAGGATTGTCAGAGGTGAGATTTGGCGTCTCTTGTGAAAATTATCTGCACCCGAGGTGGAATAAGTCGGAAAGATAACAGATGAGAATAACAGAATAACAGAGTTGGAAGGGACCTTGGAGGTCATCTAGTCCAACCCAAAGTTCAGGCAGGAAACCCTATACCATTTCAGACAAATGGCTGTCCAATCTCTTCTTAAAAACTTCCAGTGTTGGAGCATTCACAGCTTCTGGAGGCAGGTTGTTCCACTGGTTAATTGTTCTCACTGTAAGGAAGTTTCTCCTTAGTTCTAGGTTGCTTCTGTCCTTGATTAGTTTCCACCCGTTGCTTCTTGTCCTGCCTTCAGGCGCTTTGGAGAATAGCTTGACTCCCTCTTCGTTGGGGCAGCCCCTGAGATACTGGAAGACTGCTATCATGTCCCCTCTCGTCCTTCTCTTCATTAAACTAGACATACTCAATTCCAGCAACCGTTCCTTATATGCTTTGGCCTCCAGTCCCCTGATCATCTTTGTTGCTCTTCTCTGTACTCTTTCTAGAGTCTCAGCATCTTTTTTACATTAGATTAATGTGGGAGGAATCAACTACTACAGTGCTGTCCAGAGTAATGTTTTGCAAACCAGACAACTTTAAGACAACTTCAACTCCCATATTTGTGCATAATTTAGCTCTTCTCTTCCTATCCATCTTCCTTCGGGTCATGTTGTTTACATTGTACATCTGTATTGTAAAGTATAATTTTCCTTAAGACAGGGGTCTTCAAACTTGGCCCTTTTATGACTTGTGGACGTCAATTCCCAGAATTCCTCAGCCAGCATGTCTGGCTGAGGAATTCTGGAAGTTGAAGTCCACAAGTCCTAAAAGGGCCACATTTGAAGACCCCTGCCTTAAGAGGTTTGCTAGATAGACAGAAAATATCGTGATGCAGTATCAGAGACACTCATACAACTCGAGCATCATTCTATTGTAAGTAAGAACTAACCCCCCAAGGTGAAAAATAGGATAGAGAGATGGGCTGAAAATGGCTAGAGGGAACAATTTAAAGGGTGCAGCTGTTAATTCATGAATGCCTAGATGAGTCTTTTTCAAACTTGGCCCCTTCAAGATGTGTGAACTACAACTCCCAGAATTCCCCAGTCCTTATACTTTAAGACATGTGGACTTCCAAGTCCCAGAATTCCTCAGCCAGGATAATTCCATAATTCCCTTAAACATGCTGCCTGGGGAACTCTGGGAGTTGAAGTCCACAAGTCTTAAAGTGGCCAAGTTTGAAAAGCAGTGATGTAAGGCAGGGGGTCTTCAAACTTGGCCCTTTTATGAGTTGTGGACTTCAACTCCCAGAATTCCTCAGTCGGCCATTTTGATGAAACTGCAGGCTTGGATCCAGACCAGGGGTCTTCAAACTTGGCCCTTTTATGACTTGTGGACTTCAACTCCCAGAATTCCTCAGCCAGCGTGCCTGGCTGAAGAATTCTGGGAGTTGAAGTCCACAAGTCATAAAAGGGCCAAGTTTGAAGACCCCTGATGTAAGGGAAGGCTGTTTCTCTACCTTGGCTCCTATTTAATGGAATAATAACCTCTCTTCAGAGTCTAGCTATGTTCTATCTGTTTGATTTAATGATAATTATTGCAAAACGGTGCTCTCCCAGGAAACACTTGATGATGCCCTCTGGGTTTTGATTGGGTAGTTTCATCCGATTCCCTTTCACGCTCCTCATTAACAGCTATTTATTATTAATTATCACGTTGCAGGTAGAAGAGAAGTTTCAGCTCTGATAGTGTGCTGATTTCTCTTAATCTGGTTTTCTGCTGGGAGTCCTTTGGTTTATTCGGGGGTGTCAAGCGTGGGAATCAGGAAACCCTGATTCCCATTCAAATGAATATAAGAATTTATTGCAAGCTTACGCTTACAAGAATCTGAATAACTAATGGCCAAAACAAATGGGCAGTGGATAAGAGTCACGGGAATTTTTGCAAGCAAGAAGGGACTCAAGACCGATAACACATTTGACCCCTCCCCCTTGGGCTCAGCCTTGTCACCTCCTACAGGGGGTGTACAAATACAGTCCATTAATTCAATTCACTTTCGTGGCAGGAGAGTGACGAGGAAGAAGCAGACACCCCGTGGAGCGAGGAGATCAACCCAGAATTGCAGGATGATCTAACGGATGCCTCCTCGGGGGAGATGTCTCTGGCCATCCCAGTGAGCACAATGAAGTTACGCAGCAGCAGAGACTCCATCCATGTGGCTCGGCCCGAGAGTGACGGGCAAGCCCCGAAGAAGCTTTCCTTCCTGCGTGCCCAAAGAACCAGGCAGGTAAGTGGCTGGATAGCTGTACCTTGCTTTTGATGGTCTCCGACATTTGAATGACTCCAACTCAACCCTCGTTGGTTTGCTGTCTTGTAGGCCTTGTTCATATGCTTGTTTTGGGATGTTTTGCGGGCAAGCCAGCTTGGTTAGGCCTGAAGGCCACATCCCTCTTTATGTGGTCTATCCCAGGCCAGTTTCCAAAGGGAAATGTGTTTATTTAGGAAAGGGCCTTCACAAACATGAAGGGACAAAGAGCTACTTAAGAGATAACACACTTAAGTTGTCCTTCAATTCTTTATTGGCCAAGCGTGATTGGACACACAAGGAACTGTCTCTTTTATGGAAGCCGGTTTGGCACAAAAAGAAGGCCAGAGTTAGACTTAAAAATGATTTTCTTTATGTGACATCTAATGGAAGAGCTTCAAATCTCACGTAATGGGATAAGGAGACTTTAAAAGATATTATTTGATTTAATATTCAGGAGTTATATCTATAAGGGAAACAAACTATTATTAAAATAATAGTTATGAATTATAAAATAGAAGATGGATTTAGAGGATAAAGGTTATTTTATGAGTAAGCGATGATATTAGAATGAGAAGTAGAATATGATTGTGAAATAAACCAAGAATTTATTTGAATAAATAATAAGTGTATTTTAGATATGATAATTATTTTGTAATGAACTAAAGGAACCGTGGGTTATCCAAAACTTAAATACTATGGACATTAAGCCAACTGGAATATTGTAATTGAAATTAGATAAAAGTTAAAAACAGGATCTGGAGACATATAAGTTAAAAGTTGTTGATAAATGTTTTAAATGATTGAGTTATAACTAGCAATGTATTAATCTGAATTTGGTATAATAACTAAGGGAAACAGAGAGGAAATTTGTGATGATGTAAACTGATATAAGTATGGATAACTATGTTATTGGACTATGTATTACCCAACCACCATGTTGCTTCCTTAATACCCGAAGTTTTGTAAAAATGGAAAATTAATAAAACTTGTTTAAAAAAAAAAAAGGAACTGTCTCCAGTGGATAAGCTCTCAGTGTACATACAAATAACAAAGGGATAAGTCAAAGATCAGAGGTCCCCAACCTTTTGGGCACCAGGATCGTTTCTGTGGAGAGAGGCTTTTCCGCGGACCGGAAGGTGCGTGGTTTTGCATGCTGCGTGCATCCCACGGATGGGGCTTTGCTTGTTTGTGCGGACCGGTTGCTGGCATGCCGCGGCCCGGTACTGGTCCATGGACTGGGGGTTGGGGATCCCCATCATAGATCGTAAATCATAAGATACAATCATAATCATAAGATACAAACAATAAGCGATGAATCATAAGATACTAATAGGAGAAGGTAGTAGGAAAGATGAGAAGACGACAAGGATAATAGTAATTTGTTGTTGTTAGTTGCAAAGTGGTGTCCGACCCATTGCGACCCCATGGACAACGTTCCTCCAGGCCTTCCTGTCCTCTACCATCTTCTGAAGTCCATTGAAGCTCACGCCTACTGCTTCAGGGACTCCATCCAGCCACCTCCTTCTCTGTCGTCCCCTTCTTCTATTGCCCTCCATCTTTCCCAGCATCAGGCTCTTCTCCAGGGAGTCCTTCCTTCTCATTAGGTGGCCAAAGGACTTGAGTTTCCACTTCAGGATCTGGCCTTCTAAAGAGCAGTCGGGGTTGATCTCCTCCAGGACTGACCGGTTGGATCGCCTTGCAGTCCAGGGGACTCGCAGGAGTCTTCTCCAGCACCAGAGTTCAAAGGCCTCCGTTCTTTGGCGCTCAGCCTTTCTTATGGTCCAACTTTCACAGCCATACATTGCAACTGGGAAAACCATGGCCTTGACTATAAATCTATTATATGGGTAAATAACTTTAGGCCTAAGAGAGTGCTGTGAGAGTTATGTGCTCAACAGAGTGATGGCATGGGGGGTGGAGGGGGGGGGGAAACTATCCCTGTGTCTAGTTGTTTTGGCACGCAAGCAGCGTCCTAAGGAGAGAAGTTGAAACAGTTTGTGTCCAAGTTGTGAGGGGTCTGTAGATATTTTCTCAGCCCTCTTTCTGGCTCATGCAGTATACAGGTCTTCAATGGAAGGCAGGCTGGTTTCAGTTACTTTTTTCTGCAGTCCTAAGTAACCCTTGAACTCTGTGTCAGTCCTTTCTGGATGCTAGTGCCAACGCAGACAGTTACTGAGGTACAAATGACAGGCTCGATCACTCAGAACAGTCCTAATTTTGTGATCCCAATTTTGCTTCATTGCAGATCAAGCAGGCTGCGGAAGAGATGCTCATTCTGGAGAGCAACCCGCTGGAATGGACCGTGACCGATGTGGTGCAATTCCTCCGGCTGACCGACTGCGCTTCCCTTGCCAAAATATTTCAGGAACAGGTTCTTTCTTTCTTTCTTTCTTTCTTTCTTTCTTTCTTTCTTTCTTTCTTCCTTCCTTCCTTCCTTCCTTCCTTCCTTCTTTCCCTCCCTCTTTTCCTTCCTTCCTTCCTTCCATCCCTTTCTCCCTCTTTTCCTTCCTTCCTTCCCTCCGTCCCTCCCTCTTTTCCTTCCTTCCTTCTTTCCCTTCCTTCTTCCCTCTTTCCCTCCCTCTCTCCTTTCTTCATTCCTTCTTCCTCTTCCTCCTCCTCCCCCCCCTCCCTCCTTCCCTCTCTTCTTTCTTTCTTTCTTTCTTTCTTTCTTTCTTTCTTTCTTTCTTTCTTTCTTTCTTTCTTTCTTTCTTTCTTCCTTCCTCCCTCCCTCCCTCCCTTCCTTTCTTCCAGCCTTCCTTCCTTCCTTTATCCCTCCCTCCTCCTCCCTTTCTTTCTACCTCCCTCCCTCCTTCCTTCCTTCTTCTTCTTTCTTTTTCTTTCTTTCTTTCTGGAGGTTGACTCCTGGGTAAATTCATATCTGAAGAATCACAACCGTGAGACCACCAGGAGATAAAAACTATAACAAGTTTATTTACAATTAAAAGCACCTAGCTTTCGCCGGCCTCCTGCCGGTTTCGTCAGGGTGGCTAACCATCAGTGGGTGGCTGTTTTTATGGGAGTGGTGCCTTTTGCACCCGGCTCCTCGATCTCGTGACCGGGCCCAGATAGTCTTCTTGTTTCGCATCCTTAATTGTTCCTTTGCGAGTTGTTGTGTTCCTGGTTC